GGAGGCAGTATGTCCTCTGAAACGTTGGTAAACATCGACCAGACTACACAGCGCAACAACCCAGGAGACAGAAATCTTGATACTCTGATGATGGAGGCAGTATGTCCTCTGAAACGTTGGTAAACATCGACCAGACTACACAGCGCAACAACCGAGAAGACAGAAATCTTCATACTCCCCGCTTTGAAAACCTCAAATCTTACAAGTTAATAGTCGTTAAAATAGTTAAGAAATTCACCGCTTTCAACTGAACCAGAAGATTAATTAGTGTTCACAACAGCGAGCCACGAGTCCCTATCATCACTCAGAGGAAACTAGCCCACACACGAAAACACTTAATTTAGGAAAAAAGTTTATATTTTCCTCCCATCTAATTACGCCTAAGTCGTGCAAGTGGCTAGATTTAAAAATAACTACGGATGTTCTAACAGTCTGCACGGAAAACATTAATCTGCACGAATGGCGGTGTTAATTAAGAACAAATGGGTGTATTCCATTAGATCATCTCTTCATAGTTTCCAAATGATTTACGATCTTAGGGAAACATAAAGGGAAAGAACACCATAGAAACCTAAGAGTAGATGGAAGATTGTTTTGCATGGATTCATTAACTATATAGTTAAAATTACCTAATATAATAAGCATATAAATAATATTATGCATATATAGACCCACTGGTACAGAGATGCTCACATTAAATATACCAAGTTACATTTAGTTTCATTTATATTAATCGTAAAGACAAATATTTCAGAATGTAAGTCGTTGAAGAATGAACCGTTTGAGAAAATACAAAGACTTCTAGTCGAGTTTCACAAGAAGCAACGTTAGTATTAAAAGGAAAATGAAATTCGATGAACGAAGTCTGGTATTTAAATAAAAAGTTTCTTGGATATTATCCATCGCCTAATAAAATAATAAAATTGAATTACGTTTCGGAGATGGGACTTTATCTCCGAAACGTAGTTCAATTTTATTATTTTATTAGACGATGGATAATATCCAAGAAACTTTTTATTTAAATAACTCACCATCGTCACAAACTTTTAGATTTGAAGTCTTCTATTTTAATCCAAAACCAAATTTCATCTTAATCATCGAAGAAGCTTCCCAGATGAAAGCAGACAAACCTCTGCGTTATGGGTTCATTTAATACATTTCGTTAAACGAACGCATAACCAAAACCGGGTACAAAAGTGTTAAATGACGATGATAGTTCCGGAAGATGAAAATCTGCTATCATTTTGTCACGCCATAGCCCAGCTTTTAAAATTAAGGTCATACCCCGTTAATCTATAATTCGTACCTACCCTTCCATGCAGAATCCATGGAGCTTGCTTGTTTCCTTAAGATACATTTGTAAGTGCGTGTTTTATATCTTGTATGAAAACGCCGTGTTTCCAGTCGATTAAAATGTTCTCTGTTCTGTCACTCGAAGACAGTAAGTACGGACACCCCACAACCACGCATTACAAGTCATGCACCTGACATCCTACTAGATAGCCTTGTTTTCTGTGTAGCTCGGGTTCAGGTCACGTCGTGAACAGCCCATCCACTTGACAGGAATACTAATGTTATTTCTTGGTCAAAATCGATGGTCATTGAAAAAAATTTGGCTTTAGTCCAACATTTCCCCAACGATTTCCCAATGCGACGTCAAGATATATAGTCGAAACAGCACATTACAGAAACTTTTGTCTTAAGCCTGTTTATATTCTTGAGAGCTTCACCGAAAAACGAAATTTAAACATTTATTATGCGTTATTACGTCTAAATGTATA